TTCCCTGTCCCCTTCCCTCTTCCCTTCCCTGTCCCCTTCCCTCTTCCCTTCCCTGTCCCCTTCCCTCCTCCGTTCCCTGTCCCCTTCCCTCTTCCCCTCCCTGTCCCCTTCCCTCCTCCGTTCCCTGTCCCCTTCCCTGTTCCTGACCTGCTGCCTGGCCTGTGTTCGCTCTCAGATCAAGGATGAGGAGGCAGGCTATGACCTGGACCTCTTCTGCATCCCCAAACATTACGCCGGTGACCTGGAGAGGGTCTACATTCCACACGGGCTCATCCTGGACAGGTGCGTGCAGCCCTCGGCACCCACAGCGTCTCGCTCCCGATACGCCTAAGATGGGGGCTTGAGCTGGTCTTATCCCCCCCAGGACGGAGCGGCTGGCTCGCGAGATCATGCACGACATGGGGGGCCACCACATCGTGGCGCTGTGCGTCCTCAAGGGCGGCTACAAGTTCTTTGCCGACCTGCTGGACTACATCAAGGCCCTGAACCGCAACAGCGACCGCTCCATCCCCATGACCGTGGACTTCATCCGGCTGAAGAGCTACTGTGTACGTCCCCTTCGGCATCCGCCAATCGCCTGCTTCGGTTCACAGGCTCATCCTGTGGCCCTTAGAATCCATTAGCGCCTTATGGTAAAAGGGCCACATGCTCTGACCTATCAGAAAGCGGTGATAGCCAAATGAAACTGAATGATGTGCTTCTTCTCAGAATGACCAGTCCACGGGTGAAATCAAAGTTATTGGAGGGGATGACCTGTCCACCCTCACGGGAAAGGTGACTTATATTGCTCTTATTGATTCGTAAGCAGTTCTCTCTTAGCAGTGGTGGAAAGTTCAGGTTAGTGCAAATCCAGACCAAGATTTTGATTGAACCAACTTGTTGAGCATAAGGAGTCACATTCGCAGAGTACTCGGTTTGGTTGGAACAAAGCCACGGTCTGGATTTCTACTTTGTGGACCGGAACTTTCCACCTGTTTTTATCTGTAAGCTTGAAATGTCACGTTGATTGGCTTGACCTATCTAACCCTAAGTCATTCTGTCCTTCTCGCCTTTTCTGGTTGCAGAACGTCCTGATTGTGGAGGTGAGTGCCCAACCCCCCCGTCGCCCACTGAGCTCACGGCAGACCAGTAAGATCGCTGCTCACGTCCTGGTTTCCCCCCGTAGGACATCATTGACACCGGAAAGACCATGAAGACTCTGCTGCACCTTCTGAAGCAGTACAACCCGAAAATGGTGAAGGTGGCCAGGTAGAGCAGATACGTTGCCGTGGAAACCCCATCCTCGCGTGCTGCCTAAATGCCGGAGGGGCCTGTGATTGTAGAATCTGTACATCCTGATACCTGCATGAAAATGTTAGTTAGAATTACAGACGCTCCTCTACTTACGAATGAGTTGCGCTCCGAATGGCCGTTCGTAACTTGAAATGTTTGTAAGTCGTTATTCAACATAATTTTAAGGGTATACGCAAGTACAAAGAACTGGGATGCCGGGAGTACGTACACTACGCTGCTGCGAGGTGGGAGTAGCGACCAGAAGTCATACTACCTGGAATTGGCGCTCAGAAAAAAAATTGATGTTGCGGAAAGGAAACAGGAGCCCAACACAATTTGGACTCGCAGTCCCTCTTCGTTCGTATGTCTGAAAGTTCGTAAGTTGAAAGTTTGTAAGTAGAGGAGCGTCTGCATTAGTGTCATGCAACCATCTTCCGTCCTGGTCGTGGTGACAGGCCACCTGGAGCCCGTCCTAGGCAGCACAGGGCACAAGGCGGGAGGACACAATTATGCATTATGGGAAATTTAGTAACGTCAGATAGTCTAAGTACAGGAAACTGTGAGACGCAGGGTGGCCATGATGCATTCCCACCCTGGGAGGTGTGAGGCATTAGCACTAGCAGCTAAGACGCCATGCTAACAGAATCATCCTTCTTAAATTTAATCTGTCATTAACCAAACTGATCCCGCAAATCTCTGCATCCCTCTTGCAGTTTATTAGTGAAGAGGACACCCAGGAGCGTGGGCTACAGACCTGATTGTGAGTTTTTAGTGGAAATCCATAATTATGCATTTTTCTTATTGCCGAAATGCCACTAGTAACATTTTAGGTGTTAGGGATCACACTATTAGACTGTTGTAATGACGTTTTATTACCACTAGATGGAGCCAATCGCCCGTGTCATGTGCAATAGTGAGAGAACCTTTTTTCTTAGATGTAGGATTTGAGGTTCCTGACAAATTTCTAGTGGGATATGCACTAGACTACAACGAATACTTCAGAGACTTAAATGTAAGTAAGAATTCTTCATGCAGTTTTCGATTTTCCAGTATTTAGTGAACATTTCGCTAACTGCGTTTCGCTAACTCCCTTTCAGCATATCTGTGTGATCAGCGAACCAGGAAAGGAGAAATACAAGGCCTGACGGGGACGACATCCTGCACTCTCTCTGTCTTTAATTTGAGGAAATTTATTTTCTATTGTGATTGTTATCTTTCTTTAGGCAGCGTGTGTGATGACAGAACAGCAGTGTGTGAGCTGTACAGCTGAACCACTGTTGGGAATTGGGAAGTATTCCGTTTTTAAACCGAAATGTCGTAACCTAGCAGACACTTTTTAAACAGAGACGGCCATCAGGGAGGAGATCAGGGTGTGTAGCTCATGCGTTATTTTGATTAGTCTTCTGATTTGCCAGCTGGATGTTTGACAGCGGTTGCGGTTTCCTCCTGGGCAAGCCGACCACTGACTGCGCCCGAGTTGGCCACCAGTCACGCTGCAAAAACTGCGAGGGTGGGGGGGGACACACCTGTCACATGCTGAGCTACGTGCCTCAGATGTCTGGGGAGGCTTTTATTTGCAAAGATAATCCTGTGCAAACGCAGAAACCGTTGCCGCATGATCGTCATTTTTGCAGGAAAGGCTGTATTGATGCTGTACTGGTGTCAATTGATGCTGCGTGTGCAATAATATGAAAGCAGGTTGCCGTACACTTTAACTGATTAATTGATTTTATTTTTTAATTCATATTGCTCTAATTTGTAATACAGATTACCATGAAAGTTGGAAAAAAAAGCCAAAAAATATCGAATATAAAGATTCAACATCTGGTTTAGGCACCCTTAGATGGCTTGGCCCATGGGCTGCCACAGATTTATAATTTTTTCTCCCTATTCCCTGTAAGAAGGTCTGTCTGCATGGAAGGACAAGGTGTGAAACTGATAGGATGACGGAGGCCCCCATACACACTGACAGCTCCACACACAGCGTGAGGTCTGGCTTCAGGTATCGCAGCGGATCTCCGCTGTCTGAGCGGCTGTTCTTCGCAGTTTTTTTCTCCAGACGCTATCCGAAATGTGTCCGGTCTGCTCTGCTCCGTAAAGAGAAAGGGCTAATTCAACGCTGTAAACTTTGATTTTCATGAATGTCAATGGCCAGAATCTGATGGACTGTTTGATTTCATAATTATTTTTTATAATTATTGATTTGACATAAATACAAACAGAGTCCTGCGGGGTAAAGTGTCTCTTTTTGTGCCCTGGGTGGGAACGCCACTGCGCTGGGTGGAAATGGAACTGCGCTGGGTGGAAATGGAACTGCGCTGGGTGGAAATGGCACTGCGCTGGGTGGAAATGGCACTGCGCTGGGTGGAAATGGAACTGCGCTGGGTGGAAATGGCACTGCGCTGGGTGGAAATGGCACTGCGCGGTGACTCTGCTTAAATACCACTCGGCCGGCAGAGTCTTCGTCTGTGGCAGGCTTCTTGCCTTCTTTAAATCTGATCTAAGCAGGTTCCCAGCTAGTTTTCTCTAACCCTAAGTTGCCAAAACAGTGTGTCTGTCTCCTGCTTGTCTCTCTGTATGTCTGTCACCTACCAGCCTCTCTGCCTTTCTCTGTCTACCAGCCTGTCCCTCTCTGCTTGTGTGTCTGCCCTTTGTCTACCCTCTTGTCTCTCTGCCTGCCTGTCTGTCTCTATGTGTCTCCTATCATTCTCTCTGCCTGTCTCTGTGTTGGCCTGTCCCTCTGGCTGCCTGTCTATCTGTCAGTCTCTGCTTGTCTGTCTCTCTCTCTCTACCTGCCTGTCCCTTTCTCCCTGTCTGTCGGCCTGTCTGTCTGCTGGCTTGTCCCTCTCTCCGCCTGTCTCTCTCTCTTTGCCCGTCTGTCTGTTCTTCCGTGCCTGTGTTCACTTCTCATCGCCGCCGCCTGACATCCGACCCTTTTGTGCCTTCACACTGCAGCCATAGTTTCCTGTTTTCTGTGGTTATTTTCAGCCACGTGAGACACGTACCGTTTAACCCAAGCTTATTATCATACCCACCTTCTCACTCACGTTCCACCAAAGGCATCAAGATTGGGGGGGGGGGGTACATATGCATTATGGTGTTGAACCTGGAACACATGAGAATAAGGTGAGGATTGATGTGCAGTGGTAAAGGCAGGCTGAACCGGAGCAGCACCATAGAGACAGAGAGGCTCACACAGACCAGCCCCAGCACTGACATTCAGCTGCACCCGAGTCCGGAGCGTGTGATCAGCTGGCTTCTGCTGTGGCCACAGCTGCAGCTCATCACGGTCTGCATCTCCACAACACTGCAGACCATGATGTGCTGCTACAACGGCCACCAGTGAGAGGAGAACACCCACCCCACAGGCTTGATTCTGCCACATTTACTAGTCTAACTGTAAACATGGGTTGCATTTATTCTTCTACAGTATATCGCTGCTTTAGCTGTCTGAAGACACCCGTCCGAATAGATACAACGCTGTTCATTTTGCAGCTTGGTCCAGGGGCGTGAGCTGGCCTTAACCCCATTTTCCAGGTCATAGTGCTAATGAGTAGTGATGGAAAAAAAATATGCCTCATGAACCATTTGCTGTGTTTTTTGGCACCACTAGATGGCGCTCTTGGTATGCTTTGGGGCATGCTTTGAGTCTTTCTTGGAATAGAAAGCACTATCTAGTGGGGTCAGAAAATATAGCACATGGTTGATGAAGTGTCATTTTGTCCATCACTACTAATGAGCTCTGTGCAACAAGAGCAGGCTCACTAATTGAGCACTGAAATGCTTTCGTAATATGGATGCCCCCATCTTAGAGCCGGACCTTCCTTGGACAGCCCACTTTCCCTTCTCCGGTCCTCACAGGGTTGCAGGATGCGTAGAGTCTTCACCAGGGATGCCGATTCATGGTCTCCTGCACAAATAACCCATAGAAAATTCTTCTCAGACCTAAAGACCTTGAACTTAAACAACCCACTTTGTACTATTTATGGTGGAAAATGTTATATGTCTATATCGGTTTGTAAATTATACTTTAAGCAGGTAGCTAAACATCATTTGATTGTCATCTTGTGAAAGTTAAGCTGCTGGTTCATATCACAAGAGGCATTTTATCTTGAAAAGAATACCCTATATGAATGTCATTAGGTCATCCCACACTAGAAAAAAAACATTTCAGACTGCTCCGAAACAGATTATCCTGTGTACAAGGGACAAACTGCTTAAGGAATATGTTGGCATGACACATTTGGAGTTATTTCACACAAAGGCCTACTATTCATTTTAACTGGAGTGGGACCTAAAGGCAACGCAGCTAGAAAGCAATACAAATGCCAATATGAAGCTGGAAGCTACTATCTACTGGCAGAATGAATCTGTATCCACTACTGTAAAACATTAAGCTTGGTGTGTGTTTTAACAGTCAACCATAATTAAACTACGTTCAGATGGGTATTTTGGGGGATAGAATGTAAAATGCCATCCCGTTCACCCCCACTGTGATACCAAAATAATGGTGCAAAGGGTGGGAGCGATGAAGAAAAAGATCAGTCATTGTAAGGCATAACGCTTTAGTTCGATCGCTTTAACCTTGAAATCGGTTCTTTATTTATTCAGCACCCGTCAGAAGTTCACACCCTAGGCGGACACCTATATCACATATGGGCCTACCTTACAGATATCGCATATGGGCCTACCTTACAGATATCGCATATGTGCCTACCTTACAGATATTGCATATCTGTAAGGTAGGCCCATACCCTGCAGATATTGCATATAGGCCTACGTTATAGATGTTGCAAATAGGCCTATGTTAAAGCTTCATTGCTTGGTCAGACCCATTCACTGGTGGGTTGTCGGAGCATTTTCAGTGGATTGGGGAGTGTATCCTGCCTCCGTCAGCATCCCCTCACCATTGGACCTTTATTTTACTACCAGGGAATGATGTGGGTCCTGAAGATGGATCAGTTATGAGCCATTGGCTATAGATACACTATATGGACAAAAGTATTATGACCCCTGGCCATTACACTCACAGGAAATTTTATGACATCCCATTATAAATCCATAGGCACCAATATGGAGTTGCCCCCCCCCCTTTGCAGCTATAACAGCTGCCACTCTTCTGGGGAGGCTTTCCACAGGATTATTGAGTGTGTCTGTGGGAATTTTGGCCCATTCAGCCAGAAGAGCATTTGTGAGGTCAGGCACTGATGTTGGAGGTGAAGGCCTGGCTCACAATCTCTGTTCCAGTTTATCCTATAAGTGTTTGATGGGGTTGAGGTCAGGGCTCTATGTGGGCCGGTCAAGTTCCTCCACACCAAATTCTCCCAACCACATCTTTATGGGGCACAGTCATGTTAGAACAGAGAAGGACCTTCCCCAGACTGTTCCCACTGAGTTTGAAGCATAAAATTGTCAAAAACGTCTTGGTATGCTGAAGCATTAACCTTCACTGGAACTAGGGGCCTATAACCCAACCCCTGAAAAACAACCCCATGCCATTATCCCTCCTCCAAAAAACTTTATACTTGGCACAATGCAGTCAGACAGGGTCTCTTGCAATCCACCAAACATTAACCATCCACCAAAATATTCTGAATTTGTTGTAGAATTTTAAAGCCATAAAATTATTTTGTTTCTGACCAAAACAACAACTAAGTGGCCCACCGGGAATTATGCAAAGTCTCCCGATTGGCCACTCTGAGCCTGGATGTCATACCCGAAAAGTGCGTCGTAAAGAGAATCGACATCTGCTCCTGTTTTTGCATGGCAAGTGTGTGTCTTATGAAAGAGTAAATACTCAGTTTGTCTGCTCGTCTAGTCAGTAGCAGGTGGCTGTAAACGAGAGTAGCCTCTTCCTATAGGTGAACATGAACAGACATGTCCCCAAAGCAAGCTCCCGTAATTTGAGAATTACAGGGAGTAGGCAATCTGACAGCACTTAACTGGACACTGCTCCAATCCTGATGATTTTGTTATATATATATATATATCCATATATATATATATATATATATATATATATATATATACACACACACACACACACACACACACTATAACCCAGGCTAACAAAATCGTGTTAGAACGTGAACGTTTGCACGCTTGGAAATGAGTGTGTTCCCCCCCATCAAAAAATAAACTAATTAAAAAAAAAATACAGCCAGCACAACAAACGAAGCAAGTGCATAGTAACTTTAAAGTTATAGAAACAGTCAAGTTATGAATAATTTACTAGTTAAATAATCTATTTGCGATTAGTCATAACAACCCAACATTTGGTATTACACAATTTTCGAAACACCTGATTCTCTGGAAGTCTTTATTTTTAACACACACTACACACATTTTTTTTATATATATATATATATATATACATGCTATACATGTGTAACTCATTGGGCTAAACCGTGTGCTTGAAATCACAAGGTCGCCGGCTCAAACCCAGCCTCAGCACGTCTGCGGGTCCTTGAGCAAGACCCTCAACCTCCAGCTCCCTGGGCGCCGCTACAGGTGGCTGCCCTTCGCGGACAGCTTGCTCTACAAAGAGCAAGTTGAGGGAGGCGTAAAAACAATTTCCCCACGGGGATTAATAAAAGTGTCAATTATTATGTAGGCTATATATATAAAAGCATCACAGTTTAGCGATGACAGTGACCGTGTCATGGTGTTCAAAAGATCTTCCGAGCTGCAAAATTACATGTAGGCTACTTCATGAAGACTTACTGTAGATCATCATAGAGCGGAATTAAAGTTTCCCATTCCCCTTTTACCTTTCATATGTGACTACACAATTAAGTTTTAAAATAAGGCGCAACACCGGGGATTTTATACGGGCTATTAAAAAGTTAAGAGTAGGCTATAAAAGCAAAGACACGGCGCAGTAAGTCGAGTTTTACCGATTGGATTATTTCCTCTTTTAGTAAAGTTAAATGACATGTCTAAGGTCGATAGTGTCGCCGCTAACAGACATTAATCACACTAACGCTTCTCAGTGTTTTTACAAGCCTCATCAATCCTACATTCAGAAGTGCCAGCAAATGAAAAATAGGGTAACAATTAAAAACTCACCTCTAGTCCAACTGAAAATACCGCCGAAAGTCGAGAAGAAACCTGCTTAATTGCATAGTAAGGTCTGGAGTGAAGGCTTTGCGGGGACGCGCGCTGCTTACACCCGGGGGGGTCGATCGTGCTCTGTTCTGTCACGTCGTAAATGGGCAGTTTCGCGATGCGCGTTATTTACTCTGGTGTCAGCGTAACTTCACACAGATAAACGCTCGATCTTTGGGCGTGGGGAGGGTCATAGACTCAAAACAAATGAACATGAGCCCAGTACTGATATTATTTCACGCCACTTTATTACGCAATCCATTCTGGATCCGTATTTAAAAGGTATATCCAGGTTTCATGTAATTGAATTATGGTTCTGTTCTAACTTCCCGTTGTACGCTCATCTCCATATTTATCGCCGAACTGTAAATAATCATTCATTGGTTGCACCTGAAGCGAATAACAGTCAGGCAGCCCACTTAAATACTGGAAGATGATTGATAATGGGTGCCTCGTGAATTTTTCATTAACTGTTTTAAATGCAAACATCGTGGTTTTGTGTTCATTAGAAGTGTAGTGCAGGTCTGCGCCGCCAGTAGCCTGGCGTGAGTTTGCATTATCTGCTGATGGTGAAACATACGGACAACCTCGCTCTGTGTGCGTGTGTCAATTTCACAGTTTCACCGAGGTCACTGCGTTCATGCAGAAGCGAAGTAGCTGATTGCAACGTGAATATTTGCCTTATTGTTCACAAATCTATTCACATGCTTTTATTGGTTCGCCCCTTGTATGGTGAACGTCTCAGTTTTGAAATACTTTCTACAGCCAGAAAGGAGGTTTGAGGCAAAGGCGCTGCTGTTCGTGTTCTCACGTGCGGTGTGACACTAACCCCACAAGCGCTTTTCCGTTTCCAGTGCAAATTTGTATGAACCGCCTGCCGTCGTTTTCTTGTGCTCGTATGTTATTGTACTACATCGCTTTTCAGATCCATGTCCTGCGTTGGGTTGTTACTGCAACCAACTCCAAACGTGGAATGTTTCGACTCATCTGAATGGCTTTTGAGTAGATTTTTAGACTAGCCCTGTCAGTTTGTGCATTTTATTTCATTCGGTTTTTTTTGTTATCAGTAGCATCAGCATGCGGCTGATGCAGGTTGTGGCTTAATAGGCTAAGCGATCTGTGCCTGTGATCGGAAGGTCGGCTTCAGCAGAACAGTACACCTGCAGGCCCGTGAGGCAGGCTCTTAACCGCCAGCTCTACGAGTGCTGCTGCAGGTGGCTGCCCTTCACTGCCAAGCTCGCTCTCACCTCCATATCTGTCTCTGTGTCATGGAGGGTAATATGGGGTAGGTAAAAAGGGAATTTCTCCATGTGCATCAATAAATTGTCATTATTACTATTATCATCGAATGATGTGTTTGACCGACAGTGTCGTTTAAAGTCGTGCTTTTGTTTCCAGCTTTCACATGCAAATAGCTGTTAGTGCATCTCACAGAATGCCGGATTCACTGGCAAAGACGCATCTTTCGTGTTTGTGTTACAAAGTTCAAGGGGGAGTCCTGTTTTGTTGTCATTGTTACAGAGAGAGAGAGAGAGAGAGAGAGAGACTGTGAGTGAGTCTGAATCGCTTCTCTTCCTTCCTCCCTTTGGGTGGCAAGGTGCCTCTTGTGGTTGGCCTCTGTAGCAATTTTCACTGTTGTGCATTTGCTTGCAGACCTCTTGAACTGCAGATTCGTACTGCACCAGCACTGCACTACAGGCCTACAGTGTTCATATATTATCATGCTATATAGTAACAGTAGAAGTCAAAAGTCGGGACACTTGTTTTCAATATACTTGTCTCTATTTTAACTGCTATTCACCTTATAGTGAAAGACCCTGAGGCAAAGAAGTAATGCATGTTAAATATTCCAACAACCAAGACAAGTGTGCAACACCTTAAAACATCATTGAATTTCAGACCCTTCAAAATAGCCCCCTTTTACTTTGACAGCATTGCAGACCTGGCATTCTTTCAAACAGCTTTCAGGTGTAGCCACCTGCAGTGCTTCTCCAAAAGGCCTGAAGGAGTTTCCACAAGTTGGCTGTCTTGCTCTTTCTCATCCCAAACTGGCTCTGCAGGATTTAGGTCGAGGGATTGCGGGGGCCAGGTCATCTGTCACAGCACTCAATCTCTTTCCTTGCTCACAAGATAATATATTACTTACATAACCTTGAGGTGCGCATATGCTCCTTATCTTGTTGGAAAAACAAAAGATTTTCAGTAGGTGTGTCCAGAATTTTGACGATAACTGTTTTCCCGTCCTATTTAACTTTGCAATAAAGTACGTACATTGACTGTAGCAAAGGATGAATTATTTGTTCGCCAGAGATACGCTTCACTGCATTTATTTTTACTGAAAAACAAAACCGAGGTAGTGAGGACAGTTATAGATATTATGAGCATATATTATAGATATGAACAATATGAAACCAAGTTATAGAAAATACAGACACGAAAATGCTCACACTGTCATTACAGTCAATGCAACACAACAGTGTCCACGTGTGCAATGAAATTAATCCTGAGCCGCACCAGCGGGATGTCTATACCGTGAACCGTGCAGGGTAAGTACGCCGATTCACGGCGCAGGCTGGCCGAGGAAGCCTGGCTTTTAGTTTTGAAATGGGATAATTATTCTCTGAAGCACCAGCCCGTTAGGGGCATGAGGACTGTCTGCAGAAAGTACAGCAGGCGTCGACACTGTATTCTACTCTAAACAAAATGACCCGATATCCACCCACTTCACCACTCTTTTACGATGTGCCGCATAATCCGTAAAGAAACAGCGCATGTTTGCATATAGGCCTAGGATTGCGTTTGCTTACATCAGGATGTCTAGTCAAAGAAATAATTAAAAAATATTCTTCCATTTAAAAACTGTATGGCTATGCCAGAAATTAGCCTAGTCGCAATATATAAAAATATATACTCTGCACTATAATTAGTTTAGTCTTTCAAAACGTTAAATGAATCGCTACAGTGAATTTGAGTTAATTTTACAGGAAGTTACAGAACATCAATGAATCGTGGAATGGAGGTGTCAATTCTTACTTATTTTGTAAAGGTCATAGCAGGGGCGTCGGAAAATGTGTTTTAGCTCCCTCCCCCAAATAAATGTGTATTTACTCTCTTAAGTCATGAATAGCTTTGTAGGCTATATTACACATAAGTCTGCCATCAGCCCCCCTCACAGTAAAGACTCCGCACCCCTATCCATTAATCTCAAACTACGCCCCTGAGTCCTAAAATTACAGTTACTATTTATTTAGTTAATTTTATCTTAAATAGCAATATTTTATTAGCAGTAGTATAGTTACGTCTCAGTCACCTCCCTTTGTTTAATGGCCTGTAGGCGTGGGGTGGCGGTAACACCAGTTTAATGCGATCGTTGGCTGTAAGCAGATACAAGCGTGTGAAACTTAAAGAAAGCTACTCCAAGCTGAATGTGTTGTGGTCGCTTACTCGTTTTTTAAAATGTGAATTATCGAGGGAACCTCCGTTAGCCAAATGTAGAACTTGTCATTTCAGCATGCTTGTCTACAAGGTAGTTGCTACAACAATAGCGCAGTTGCCTGGTTGGGATACAAAGAGCTGGCAGTCACCTTGCCCTGTTTCTCGTGGCTTCCATTAAAGAATAGAGCGCGAACAGAGTGTCTTTCAGCAAACTGAAGGTCTCGCATGGCACAGTGCGGCATGTGATTCTAGTAAAACGCATTAGTTTGCCCAGGATGAGGGCAGCGGTGTAGGGAGTGAATAACAAGGTGGAGTGTCATTCATATTGAAAGGAAATATTCATACCGACCGAATGTAGAGATATGGACGAGTGTCACGGTCTGGGGTATTGGGGGCGGACAGTGGGAGTTAGGGCAATTCTAAGGCCGCTAATCAAAATTTTAGAACATTAGTGGATTGCTCTGAGTTGCCCCCCCCCCCGGGTCACTGTCACTTAGTTTGCTTCCAGGGCTGCTGGATAAGGAGTGAATATGAAACCATGGGGCTATTTGTGTATTTTCAGCCAATCACATTAGTTCCCTGTTTGTTTAATAGATATGGCCATGTATACAGTTATGCTGACATTAGTGTTGGAAGCCATGGCCCTGGGGGAGGGGTGGCATGGTGGTGCAGTGGTTAGTGCTGCCTCACACCTCTAGGACCCGGGTTTGAGTCTCCGCCATGGCTCCATGAGTGTGGAGTTTGCATGTCCTCCCCATGTGATCAGAAACATGCTGTGGTTAATTGGAGCTAATAAAAGGACCTTGTGTGTGTGTGTGTGTGTGTGTGTGTGTGTGTACATGCACACACCCTGCAATGGGCCGGCCCCACATCCTGGGTTGCTGCCTTACACCCATAAGATCCAGACTCCCATTACCCTACATAGGACAAGCAGTTACAGAAAATCAATTTTCTTCTGAGGCCTGGCTGATAATGTTGTTTTTGTGCTTATCAATAGAAACACTGC